GCACACCAGGTTATACACACCATCTTAATTATCATTAACCACTAGTAGTCCTTTCTAAAACTATCTTAAGGTGCTGATGCAGACGAGTCACCTGCAACAAATCACCTATACTAAATTCAATTTTATTTCTATAGCACCGAATCATAATATACATTATCTAAAGGGTCAAGACCTTTAAAGAATTATAGAGAAACCCGACAGGTCCCATAATGAGCAGCACTTTGGAGACTATGGAGAGAAAAAAACTCCCTCATTAGCTGGAAGAAACTTCTAACAGAACCAGAATCAATGTGGGCGTCCATCTGCCTCGACCGGTTGGAGAGGTGAGAGAAGGGAGAGAAACCAGGAACAGTTGTGTAGCATCGTGTTTCAGCTCTGACAGACTAGTTGTTAAAATGAAAATATTATTCATTATTATTAAATCAAAACCAACCATAATGGGGAGTGTGTCATTCTCCATTTCATGCTTTCAGCATGATGAAGCCAGCCACTTCATTAGACTAACACACACACACACACACACACACACACACACACACACACACGCATACCAGACCTGGTGCTGCATCATTGACAGTCTGGAGCGGAGCGGGGCTGCAGCATCCCGTTTAGATTAGATCAAATCAGATTAGGTGACATTACATTAGCGCTAACCAGATTAAACTATTCCTCATCTAACGCACACAGTACCTCCTAATGCTCCTTCAGCCTCATTACCCAGGACACAACCATTGAAGGAAGCAATTAGAAAAGGGTGAACGCCTTTCTCACTTATGAGCACATTCATCTCTCTCTAGGTTGTGTGTACACCTCAGTGGTCATCAGTCAATTAAGAACTGTCTCCAGTTTGATAAGCTAATGGCTGTGGATCCTTTGTTTGCATACGTGCGTGTGTGTGTGTGTGCACAGTTGCGGGTGTATTCTTTTTCCTCTGTGAGTCTTGTGTGCTTTTCTGCGTGGGAGAAAGGCTTTTATGGTCTCACTCTTTTGCAGTAATCTTGCATGATGTCTGAGGAATGTCTAATATACAAGCTGGAACAATAGCAGAGCAGAAACAGTGGGGGAAAAATAATGACCTGATCCTGAGTCTTAAGGCCAGATGTCTGCAGTCCAAGTCTCACCTCATAAAAACTGTACTTCTTGTCCTCGCTAATCAACTGCAATTAATATACGGCTTTATGTGTGTGTCTCCACTCATAGTTATATGTGTGAGGTGGTGCAGAGCTTTGTTCATACTGTATGTGTGCATAAATGGTAATGAGTGTGGAAGTAGAGCTCAATGTATAAGTTTCTGTGTGTGGTCTGTGGGTGTGTGAGCTTACGTACGTATTAGTGTAGCTTTGGCTCTTTGGATACGGCTCTGTGTCTATTTGTGGAGTGTGTGTTTCTGCATGTGAGGGCATTCATCTGACGACACACACACAAACATCCAAGTGCCCCTTGCATTTGTTTACCCTTTGAGCTCGTTTTAATGACACGGCGAGTGTGCACACACATGAAGGATTTGCCGCAGCCAAACGGACACAATAAAGCTGTCAGGATCAAACAAGCAGATTTGTCTGTGTCTGTGAATCCAGTATACACAGACAGCGACAAAGAGGTGAGATGAAACAGGGAAAAGCTTGTTTTTCAGGGTTCACTGACAGGAGCTGCACTGCAGGCTGTGGGCAAATTATTCTTTTTTGAGACAAGAGGGGAAGATGTCTTCCTCTGTCCTTATTCCTCCAGTGCCTGTTTAACATAGCAGATGTACGACATGATCATGCTTGAACTTATGTCCCACATTTTTCTCCTTACAATTAACTGTTGTTTTCTCAGTCGACAGTTTAGCTTTGATATTTATATATAATAATATAATTTAAATTCAGATAAGCTGGCAGCTTTAGAAACTGCATTATTCAGCACCTCAGGTATGTCCCAAACATAAAACCACCAGCATTAATCGTTTGTTCACATTTACATTTTCCTGACCAGTGACCTCTTGTTGTCTTGTGAATAATGTCCTCTCTCAAAGATGGAAGTATTATGCTGAGTGTGCTGCATAATATTTTGAGGTTGTGGATAAACTGTCTGGTTTGCATACCTGTATTCGATTTCAGATAAATAAAATGAACTTTAATCATTGCAAACTTTAAAAATTACCGATAAAAGATCCTAAAAGTTGATTCTGTAACTTTTAAAATTGTGGATCAGTTTCAAAATATAATTTGTAATAGCTTGCTGATTGCACTTGATATTTTGCTCATATAGATAAATACATGCTAACCAACAACGGACTTAAGCTTTCTTAAGTTTCTCGATTCAGTGGCCGACATCGGCTGCATCCTAAAAATGAGGACAGCTCTAGTTACATTGCCTATCAACAAATATACGGACAAAATCATTCTTCAGTTGATTAAATATGTTGAATAGGTGTTTTTTTTTTGACATGTGCTCCGTTAGCTGTTTGGATGAGTACTCACATTTAAAAGTAAATTATCTTTTTGCTGACTTTTGGCTGCAGCAGATTGTTGATCCTGGTTTGCTTCTCACTTTATGTTTCCCACCAAAAGTAAACAATATTTTTTTTTAAACCATCATGACCTTTTTATTTTAACTTTAACCAAGAAGTTTTAGTGGCTTAAACATCATATGTAGCAGTTAACTACAGCATAGCTCACAGAGGTCATTCTAAAAAGTGAGTACAATTCAGTTTTGACGTTCGGCCCGTGAGATATGGTGTAATAATGGGCTCTGGTGTTGCTGGACTCCTTGCCTAAGGGCCTAAAGCTATATTCACATCTTATGGGAATAATGACTTAACACGATGCAAAAACTTTAAAGTGCCGACTTGCTCAAGCTCAGTTAAAACTGTCACACTCTCTTAATGAAGCAGTGGCTGCTTCTGACAATGTAACACTTGGACTTAGTCAGTGACATCAACTCTCAACTACAAAACTCCAAAAAGTAGTTGCTTTGTAGCTGTGTCACTTTAAGGTTATTGGTTTCTGTCGGCTGAAAATAGTTCTTGTTTCTTAGCAGTTATTTTGCAGCAAGTGAAGACTCCTCTGGTACATGACCCCCCCCCCCCCTGTAAGGTGTAGGACTGGAGAATTTTAAAAGATAGGGCATTTGAACCATTTCCCAGTTTTCCCAGGGGATAGGTAGAGTATGCGCTCTGCAGTGCCCTCTGTAGCTCTTTAAATGTTTATTGCTGCAATGCTGAGACCACCTAAGGCAGCAACAGTGACAACATTTCATCGTAACTGACTCTTCTGTCACTGTTGCTGAAAAGACTTAAACAAACTGGTGCGGTAATGCAGCACGTTATTCAACTCGTCATGTTAATCTTTGTATTCACGTCTCTATGTTTCCATGCTAGCGTCGAGTAATCACTGCTTAAACCGTCATGGTGTATAGTGATTAGAGGCAGCCCACGAGGACAGGCTTAATGACACACACTGTGTTTACATTACGTTACTTTACCTCGCGGTTCAGCCGGGGGATAATGTTTCTGCTGGAATGCCATCTCTGTTTAAACACACACACATGCGTGTGCGCGCACACACACACACACACACACACACACACACACACACACACACACACATTCAATTATACATTTAGGACAGAGAACATGCAAACACAGATCAGTATACTTTGATACTGTCATATCAGCGTGGTGTGTGTGTGTGTGTGTGTGTGTGTGTGTGTGTGTGTGTGTGTGTGTGTGTGTGTGTGTGTGTGTGACACCATGATTGAGCTGTATGAACTGTTTAATGCATCGAGATGAAAGGCCTCATGATGTCTGGGGTTTTCCACAGTCCACAGGCACATAACACCATCCCTGCTGGTTCTTCTCTCCTCGCCGATAATTACGGATACTCGCTGTAGACGTCTGATTTACATACTGTGTCGTATTTGGATGCGCTGCGCCTTTTATCTTTTGGATCGAGCTCTTTTTCTTGTCTGTCTGCTTGTTCTCATTGCCTGTTTTTCTCTCACATGCTTTTTTCCCCTGGCATACGCCCACACTCAGATGCTTTCTCTCTCTCGCTCTAACACACATACATGCATGCACCCACAAGCCAGTTGTTTGATGTAGATGTGAGTGGCAGCCCAATTCTCTGATGAGCTCTGAGCAGACGTCCCAGCCATATTCAGCTGCAGCATTGTGTGTGACAGAAAGTATCTGTGTATGAATAGACAGATTTGTCAGACTTGAATTCAATTTAGTCATTTGCATATTGCTTTGTGCACATGTGACACTGCAGGTGTTGTTTGCCAATGTCATGTGAACATCTTGCTTCTCCTCCGCTCCGGTTATTTCCAGGTTTTTATCATTAGTGTAGATCAGACTCCTGCACCGGTACCAGCTCGGTACCAGACCCAAATCCACGACCCGACCAGTGCTTAACACATATGCTTCACACACATTCACGCACCTCAAATACTGTCGATTACAGCCTCCTTGTCCTCCCGCTCTGGTGGTTAAGGTGTGCTCTTGGAAAGGTATCTGTGAATTGTCACAGCACCTGTCAACATGTTTCCTCAGAGACAGTGTTGGTGGCTTGTAGCTTTCAAAAGCTAATAAATTGTGGCACATTTTACAAGCAACAAAGCCACAAAGAACGTATTTACCACTGGATATTTTTGTGTGATCCTGTTTAATGTAATTGCTACCTCGATGTCAGTTGTGACAGTTATTTTAGTGTGGGTGAAAATATAAAATGTGACACATTTAAATAATTCCTTGCAGCTGAGTTTTTTTGTTTTAATGTGTGCTTTCTCTAGAAAAACATATTTAAGTTCTTACCTGCTGCTCGCATTTATTTATTTTTTGCCAATGCTGATGTGTGTGAAATTATATAAATATAATTTTACCCGTTTTATATTCTTTGGGGGGTGGGTTGCCACTTCGCGACCTGATCCAGGACAATTGTGCTTTTATTATAATTATATCTAGCACTGTGTACGATGCTATAGTAGAACATTAACCCTCTCCTCTCTTGTGTCTCCAGCCTGATGAGTTGACCAATGCGTTGGAGATCAGCAACATCGTGTTCACCAGCCTCTTCGCTTTGGAGATGCTGTTGAAGGTTTTGGTCTATGGGCCCTTTGGCTACATCAAGAACCCCTACAATATCTTCGATGGCATCATTGTGGTCATCAGGTGAGTTTGGAGACTTTTTAACAACTTCAATTTAGTTTTTATAGAAAAACCTTACAGTGCTCTATCCTTGCCTCCCTACTCATTGTTCCTGTTTTAAAACTAACACCACTGGGAATATATGCCATGGTTGTTATTACATGTAAAAAACATATCATACTTTTTTCCACTCTGGTACAAGATTCATTAAAACCATAAAAATATTTGAATCAACCTAATTATTACAAAAAGGATGTTCGGTTGCTATATATATATTTTTTGAATTGTTAACAAGTATTAAGTGTTTATCTGTGATCTATATAGTCTTAATCAGATTATCTGACCAGATTGATTACTTCACTCTCTACTCAAGTAACAAGGGGAACTCTGGGTATTTTCCTGAATGGAGTAAAAGTTCCCCCTGAGGAAACACATCAGAAACATTACATCACTGTCCGACTTCTCTAGGGTGTAACACACAAAGTTAAAGTCACATTAACTTCCATCCAACAAACTTTACCCAAACAGCCCATAAAAACAATGTGATATCACCATCCTGATGTGGGTAGTAAACAGAGTGGTCAAAAGCCATAAACAGTCTCTGAGTGTTTGCTATGTGGTAGTGCAATGCTGTGGTAAACACGGTGATGACAAACCACTGGAATAATGACTTCCTCATTTCCAAAAAAGTGTGACCCATTATCTGTGAATCCAGAAACTAAAGCTCAGTTTCAAATGGAATAAATGGCTAAAGTTAGTATTAGCTTTTAGTTCCATGCTGGTAGCCTACTACAAAGAAGCACTTTGCTATGTTTTATAGCCCATATATGCTTCATCCCTGATTGTAGCATAGACTGGACATAATGATGGACAAACATTTCCACTTCCTCCCACTATGCAATACCAATTAATACCAAACTCAACTTAATTTGATGTGTATTTTGACATTTTAGCTGGTCAGCGTCCTATCCACTAACATAGAGGAGGCAGGGTTTATGACCTATACTGCTGCTGGCCACTAGTTGGCGATCAAGACACTTTAGCTTCACTTTTGGGAACTGTCATGTCATCTGTCTTCATATACAGTCTGTGGTTTGTATTGTGAGTAGAAGTTAGAATCAATCTGCAACTGTAAAATCCTTGAAGCTTTGTCTCTTTTATCATGTGTTAGACTTGATGGTTCTTGTAATACTTAAATACTCACATTCAACTTATATAGTTCTGAATTTGTATCATTTATATATATAATCGGTTGATAATTAGCTAATTTCTCTATGCCCAACATTGTGTGATAATCAATAAATAGTGTTCAGGGTTTTTTTGTTGTTGTATTTCCTCAAATTTCTTAAAATCTCTCTTGTAAATACTTGTGTGTGTATGTTTGCGTCTCCTCAGTGTGTGGGAGATTGTGGGTCAGCAGGGCGGCGGCCTGTCGGTGCTGAGGACGTTCCGGCTGATGCGGGTGCTGAAGCTCGTGCGCTTCATGCCGGCCCTGCAGAGACAGCTGGTGGTGCTGATGAAGACTATGGACAACGTGGCCACCTTCTGCATGCTGCTCATGCTCTTCATCTTCATTTTCAGGTAGACAGAGGAGGAGCAAGTTACGGCACGTCCTGTTTTAGGGCCCGGACACACATATGCAGATACAGGCATATATTGTGGGCCAAAGTTCACCAAAGTTGAACTCCACGTGAAGCAACTCTGCGGATTTGCGTAACATCTGGAAGCAAATGTTTTAATCACCCCCTCGCTCACACAAATTGGAAGGGAAAAGTAGCATGAGGTTTGCCACTGTTACATTTCAGTATTGAATGAACAGTTATTACTAAAAAATGTGGAGGAACAACAGCAAAGACACTGAAAGAAAACACACAAGTTTAAACTAAAGGGAGTTTGATCAGTGACTGTGAAGTAAATTCTGTAGATGGGATTGAAAGCACAAAGGTGTGGAGTGAAATGAAATCAGTTGATCGGTACATGTCAACTTTTTCAGAGGTCGTACAGACGTGAAGAATGAGATCAGTCGAAGGGATGACAAGACTAAGTGATTCTCTCATTTCGTCTGTATTCCTATTTTTCTGCCTGGTTAAACAGAGCAGCTGAGCTCAACAGAGTTACGGACGTTCTCTGTACTTGCTGATACACAAACTAGCAAGGAGGTGAATAAACTATTTGCTTCCTATGGCAAGGCTTCCCGTGGACCTTCACCATAAATATTTCTTGTCTTTTGTCAAAAATGGCAAAACTGAAACATTCACCTGTGGTCATGACATAACATGCACTAAAGTGTATGTAGATTCAGCTTAATATAAGCACATTAAATATTCTATTTAGGGCACTAAAGTTGAACTGCGTTATTTCCTGTATCTAGTATGATCTCTGTGGAGTAGCTTAGTATTTCTTCATCAAGGAGCAGTGAGAGATCAGAGATTTGGTTGTTTCCAGTGTAAGATGAGCTAACAGCCTCCTGTAGCTCCAGCTCCATACACAAAACTCAACCCACACGGCTCACTCTCTTGAAGAAGCACGTATGTGTTGAGGTGTTCCTGTGCTGAGAGGAGAGCAGTGGAGATGGAATAGTGGAGGAAATAGTGAATGTAATTGCCACGGTTTGTGACGCTCTCCGTGGTGCTGAACTTAACCTGGCACGAGCACTCTTCTCCACTTCTGTTAGTTGGCAACATTTGTGCCTCGGTGCATTGTGGGCCAACAGTCTATGAAGCAATGAGTAAATTGCATCACTGAGTGGACATGATGTTCTACTTTTCTTTGCAATTTATTTTGATAATAAGCTGTTTGTAAATACTTCTGTACTTCTATTCTGTTGTATGATTGTCCATTATGCAGTGATTACCATCAATGTTATACTGCCAGAGCTATTTTTCAATTCAATCAGTATGATGAATTTAAAACAATTATTAGTTTATTTGTACTGTATTTAATGAGATGGCCTGTTGTAAACATTTATCCCTGTATTTCCTGTTTTGTTTTCTGTTCTCCCTCCCTCCTCCCTTTTCAGTATCCTGGGGATGCATCTGTTTGGTTGTAGATTTGCGTTAGAGAGTGACAAGGACACACTGCCGGACAGGAAGAACTTTGATTCTCTTCTCTGGGCCATAGTTACGGTCTTCCAGGTGAACAAGAACCCCTTTCTCTTAAATATTCACATCATTCTCTCATGACTGTATTATGGCTAATTAAGCTGTATCTTCACACTCCGTCGAGTTAATGAAAATATGAGTGGGATGACCTAAAGGTAGGGAAGTCCATCCATCCATCCATCCGGTAGCTTGCACTTCCTGCATGATTGCATCGAACCTTCTGAAGTGCCCGCAAGCAACTCTTCTTGCTTCACTGCTGCTGACTGAAACTGTCCCCACTCAGAGGCCGAAAAGACAATTTCCTCCTGAATAAATAAAATATATCAAATAAAATATTCCACTTCGCCCTCATAGTTCCCTCTCTTCCTCTCCACCTGATGTCCTTATATATTCCCCACATTTTCATCCACTGCTCTAATTTTCATTTCCATTTATTCATGTATCTTACATAGGTTTGCTTCTCGTGTCACGTCACCTTGGATTAGCAACTCTGTGGTGTTCAACCATCCATTTATTATCCCTTGCATAAAACACTGTATGGTATTTATCACCCCCTAATATAGTAACCTTGTATAATTCAGTGAAACATATCGTCAGGGACCATGTGGCGCTCCAGCATGTCTCTCTGTGCATTGCACTGACATGTCTGTTCTCTTGGTGGTGCGCAGAGTGTAATGTATCTTTCTTTCAATGATTCAGCCTTGCTGTGGCAGCTTTTACATTTTCAATGTTGCATCACTGGAGCAGAGTTGAGTACATTTTCTGTTTTGGGCAGAGAAATAGAGGAAACAAAACTAGAAGTGGCCTAAACAACAATACACTAACATATCACAGAATGTTTGACTGTATATAAAGATGTTAAACTTCCTCCTTTTACACTTTGCATTTGTGAACGTGGTGTGGGGCCACGGTATCAAGCTCTTCTGATACACACACACACAGCCAACACAAAGCAGTGTCAGCTGCTTTGATTATCGCGTCAGAAAGATTTGCAGTTGAACATACATCAGTGTGATAAGAACTACCTAAAATGACTTTAAATGTCTTTGTAATTTATTTAACGTGCACTTTTCGAGGATGCAGGGTTTATGACCTCAAGGTTTTGGCTTTACTTTTGAGGAGCTGTCATGTCGTCCATCTTTATATACAGTCTATGCACACAATTGAGTAAGTTTGGAGTAAGTTTGGAGACTTGTTTCTTATTTTCTTTGCCTGGGACACGCTGCTTTGGCTCCAGTTTCAATCATGTCCATATTTAAGACACTTTTGCAAGATGCTCATTGTCAGTTAGCTAGCTAGCTACAGCAATTAAAACCATTGATAGTTGTCATTTCAGCTACAAAATATATTAGTGGCTATTATATTATAACCAGAAACTCATTGTGTGGTATATTTTAACACTGCTACACAATCATGCACCTTTTTCTGTTTCATACTTTTTTCTACTTTCCTCTCGTTCAGATCCTCACCCAGGAGGACTGGAACAAGGTGTTGTATAACGGCATGGCCTCCACCTCTCCAGTGGCTGCTCTTTACTTCATCGCACTCATGACCTTTGGAAACTACGTCCTCTTCAACTTACTGGTGGCCATCCTAGTGGAGGGTTTCCAGACAGAGGTAATGTCTTGCTGGTCACACGTGCACAAAACCAATGCATAATGTAGCATAAAAAAACCATCAGGACTTTAAACTTCTATCTTCCTCTGGCATAAGAATAAGGTTGCACTGCTCTGATCCAGGCTCATCAGTCATATAAACAAAGAACATCTGATAAACAGTTTTCAAACTAATCAGCAACTGAAAAAAACAAAGATAAATCAGATTTGAAGAAACATGAGACTGTGTTTCAAGGTTAAACAGCATATTATTAGCTACCATTAGCAAAAGCTAGAAGTGCCATGCATTCAGCACTAACCCTAGCCATGAGGGCTAATTTTATATTGAAATATCAATGCAAATTTTTGATACATTTATTTAAGATTGTAAGTAAAGTGTACTGGTTGTAAGGAAGCTAGCAGTGTGAAGCTTACCGTTATGTCTTTTCAGTCGATCTCAACTATTTTCAGGTTAAAGAAGTAATGTTATGTCATGTTATACTCACTGGAACATATTACTGTGTATTGTTATAATATACATAAACACAAATGATTGATTAAAGAACTTTATTTGGATAGCAAGCTTGATTCTCGTGCATTCTACTTCTTAGATAATTGTGTCCAGAAGTGCATTGATATTTCAGGATTAAAAAGCATTTTCCATTGTCTCACATGTCAATATTAGAGAGTGCTTTTCCAAGAAAGCGATGGAATGCAAATGTTAGCTGTCGTCTAATGGTTGGTAATCAAATGTATCCAGATTGTCTTTTCAGTTGCTGATCAGTTAGGGACCAGGAAACAGTTTGTCACATGATCTGTGTTTATATGACTTATAAACCTGGACGTCACAGGAAAATGGCCACCATGTGAATATGGCCTCTTGGGGGGAGTTTGTTTATCTTCTTTTGATTGGAGCTATCTTGTACCAACCTTGCACAGTGATCTGGCTCACTACCAAGCCCTAACACAAATAATGGTATTTACTGCTGAAGCTACTCTTGCAAGAATTTGAAGAAATTAGATTCAAGACTTAACTCTCAGGCTCAATAATTCAACAAGGTACTTATTTTTCAGTGCAGGCACAAACAACTCTATCAGATGCATGTTGACGTTCACGGATACAGAACATACTCAGTAACATGTATGTACATGTACAAATGAACCAATATGTTTCCTTGCACTCTTTGCTGCAGGTTACGTGAGGACATGCGATCACACGCACTAGTTGCAGTGTTTCACTTTTCTCTCCTCTTCGACTCGCTGTCAGCCTCCTCTCCTCCCACTCTCTCCCACTATCTCTCCAGTCATCCTCATTATTGTTCTGCTTATTTGCCAGTACAAGTCGCGCCATAAAGCACATCATACGAAAACTATGTCTGCTCGATGAGACCGTGCAGCAGCAGCAGCAGCAGCAGCCACATCCCCCTCCTTCGTACAAGTCTTTTTATGTCATAAAACAAAGGCGATATGTTATCCACAGCCAGTTCCTCTCCAAAAGAAAAAAAACGAAAGACAGCAAAACGAAGGGAGCGAGACAGAGAGAGAGTGGTAAAAGGTGGATTAATGGTCGTTATTGTTTAGAGACAGGCAACTGAGAAAACACTTTTCAGGCCTGGAGGGAGTGAAGGAGTTGAAACTCATTCAGCGACCTCTCTTCACTTCTCAACCACCCCATTTGTACTATACAGGGTTTTATTTGAGACGGATGGAGCGAGTGAGAGAAAGGAATAGTTGGTGAGATGACATGGAGAGAATAAATCACAGGAGTGCTCACTGTGTCTCTGGCTGTCTTTGTGTCTCCCCCCTCTCCGTCTTTAAGAAGTGACAACGCCAGTTCTTTGATCTCCGATGCTCTTTGGCTCTCCGCCTGTGAGGAGGGAGGATAGATGAGGGGTGGCAGACAGAGCGGCTGACAGCCTCATAAAATATGGATTAATTGGAATGGGCTTCTGCTGCTGTTGTGCTTATCTGCTGTACAAATATCAAGTGCATGACTGTGGTGAATGGAATCACATGCAGGGGTTTAGGTTTTTGGTTCTTCCTCATCCATCTGTCTTACAGCATCATTTCAGCTGCTGCAGGCAGATTTCCAGTGAAAGCAAAAGTCTACAAACCCATTTCACGCAACCTGTGCACAAATGAAATGATATTTTGCTACTAGCTGGTGAATTCCGACCATGTTCAGACCTCTTATTAACACATGTCCTCATAGAAGTGGACTGTTCACACTTAGGTATTAAAATGTGTCCTGGATGTGTCTCCTGTGACCACTTGGTACCAGATATCAAATCCCTGCTCTATATGCCAAAAATCATGCATCTTCTGTTCCCAAAGTCCAAGTTTTTGTTGCATTTAAAAACCTGGAAAATCATTATGGAGCGGTTAGTGTTAAAATGGTTGTGGTGATGTTGCTAACTGTCTACTGGGCGTAAACAGCTTGGATGGTGGCGAGTTTGTTACATCCACTTAAAAGATGATGGCAAAATATAAATGTACTGAAAAAGAAATAATTATTCAAATTACCTAAAACTGATTTCACACAAATGAATGAAGTTTGTTCAAAGTAAAGTTAGCAAGTTATACTTAACATTAACTTCAACTTCACAAACTAGTGTTATACCAACAATTGATGAATTAATTTGTAAAAACTTAAATTTTTGTGCTGCCATTGAAAGTATTTTTTTTTCTTTTTTCAGTGTCAGTATGAAACAATAATATGTCACAGTTTGTTTCTGTTGCCCTCCAGTGACCAAAGAATGAGTTCAAGTTTAATTGCACAGTCGCTGCTCCTGCTTTTGGTCGCGCACATTTCTAATGTTTGATAGCTAGCGTGTGGGCACAGCAGCTGTTGTGTGATTTTCATACTTTTCGGTGTGAATGTTTGTTTGTGTCCTTGTTTAAGTTTTGGTTCTGTTGGGAACTCCCAGAAAAGAGTGAGAAATAAATCTTCAGAGACACAAACATAACAAACACACATTGTCACAACCGAATGTGGAAACCCCTGAGGTTCTCCTGTTCTCCTGTATCATCACAGAGCTGTGGGCCTATTTCTCCCTCTCCTTTCTCAACGTTACATCCTTTTCTGCAAACATTAAGTTTATTTTTAGTTGGCCAAACTTTCCCTGCGTCAGGGTTGCTAGGTAACGGCGGTGCTTGAATGACGAGGGCCAAGTGAGGAGGGTTGTACGCCTGTGGAGCCAACACGCACACACACACACACACACACACACACACACACACACACTGCCTTACTTTTAATGTCCATCCGCTCCATGCTCTACTTCTTCTCCTGTTATCTCTCTCTCTCTCTCTCTCTCTCTCTCTCTCTCTGTCTGTCTGCTTGTGACATTGTGTGTGTGACAGAATCCAATATCCGCTACAGAGAGTGCAACCAGACCAAACTGTGTCCTAATGGAGAAAAAAATAGCAAAAAAGTTATTATTGTTTCTTATCAGACCTTTCACTGTGACAATAAACACACATTTCACACCAACACACACACTTCACATGCTGCACAGGAGAAATACTTCCCTGCAGAGCACAATGTGTCCTGAATGATCATTTAATGTACATGTCGCGATCATTGTCATTTCTGAGTGTTATCCTCACAAACATGTCAGCGGACCAAGTGGAGGGTAACGACGTGGCCGTACTTCTCCTGCACTCTCTGCTGCCCTGACTTTTCATGTTGCACATGTGCAGGACAGTTGCTTTGACATGTTCTGCTGCATGGTAGAGTCCAACTGTTTCCACAGGCCGAAACCCACTTTTTAACGTTCTCCTGTCGACTCGCTGCGGGTCCACCTCTCACCTCTGTGGCTCTTTCCCCCCCTGTCTGCACCTCCCTCTTCCTGTCCGGCTGCACCAATCACTTCCGCCGCAGGAAGTGACCAAGCGGGAGGACTTGCATGTCCAGCTGAGCCTCATTCAGCTGCCTGTAGACTCGGGGGTATGTACAGCACGGCAGCCCTGCCTTCCCTCCCTCCACTGAATCTACTAACCCCTCTCCACCAACCCTCCCCTCTGCCCTCCCTCACCACCCCTTCTCCTCCCTTCCCTTTAGAGGGTTTTTGGTGATGTCACAGATCTCTAATAGCTACAGGTTGAAGGTTCATTGCAGAGGAACTTCACATTAACAAACACACCTGCTTTTTGGCATCAGATTTCTTAGTTAACTGGCCTGCACAATAATTTATCTGATAGGATACCGTGGATTCGCCAGGTGACTTTTGAATTGACATTAAACCCTCCTGGGTGTCTGTATGAAAGATGGAAGGCTGTGTTAGAACATACCTGGCTACTTCATAACAAGAAGGGGCAAGTCTTTGTAAATAAATAAAAAAGAAGCATAAGTCAGCTACAGCTCTCAAGGTGCTTTTTAATAACATTTAATTACCAGGCATTAAATTTTGTTGCATGCATGAGCCACTAATGGCGGTAACTGATGTAGCAAAGCCATTAGCTTAGCCCTTGTAGAAACCTGAATATAAACTTGTCAATTAAATCTGTTCCATTTTCAATTCAAATCTGAACAAATTACGTAACTACAGAATGGTTTTCTCCATAGGTCACAGAAAACAGAAAAGAAAATACATCAGCCTAAAAGTTGATTCACTATTTGCTCAAATGTGATTACAACTGGGGTAAAGAACGAATGAACAACAATGGACTTGACACTTGAACAATGCAGTCTTTGCATTGGACACATCTCTCACACCAAACTGATGTTAAAAAACAGAATGTTGGTATTTTGAAGCATTTCCTAGAGCCTCCTTAATTTTAAAATCTGCCCTGGGAAAGAATCCAATTTAAAAAAACTGTGAATTTTCGTCTTTTGGTCGTTTTTGTGAACTGGTCCTTTAAAACGAGCACTGATGGAAATCATCGTAAAACAAGACACTGTAGAGATTTGGAACTGTGACAGTTTTTTATCAGTCAGAGTTCTCTTCTAAGAGAACAGTGCAGTGATGCTCCAACATGGCTGCCAGAGAATGTGCCACATCATCTCAAAGTCCTCTAACCTGCTTCCTGCATGCTGCCCCTCGCTGCTGAAACTAACCAGGACGTGGAGTGACTGTTTGCAGGGGTTTAGGAGAGACGATGGAGAGCTTCAGCACTTCACTTTGCTGTGTGTGTGTGTGTGTTTTCTTTAT